ATGCACCTGGAGAAAAGAGAAGTGTAGAGGAGAGAGAGAGAGATTTTGGGAAATGTTCAGTGAGTGCATAGGGAGTTTTGAACCAAGTGAGAGAGTACTTGTGGTTGGGGATCTCCATGCTAAAGTGGGTAAAAATGTTTGTATAGGGAGTAGCAGGAAAATTTGGGGTGCCAGGGGTAAATGAAAATGGGAAGCCTTTAATTGAGCTATGTGTAGAAAGAGGTTTGGTAATAAGACATATTTTATGAAAAGAGGATAAATAAGTATACAAAGTATGATATAGCACGTAATGAAAGTAGTTTGTTAGATAATGTATTGGTGGATAAAAGGTTGATGGGTAGGCTCCAGGATGTACATGTTTATAGAGGGGCAACAGATATCTCGGATCATTATTTAGTTGTAGCTACAGTTAGAATAAGAGGTAGATAGGACAAAAGGAAAATGGCAACAGCAAGTAAGAGAGAGGTGAAAGTGTATAAACTAAGGGAGGAGGAAGTTAGGGAGAAATATAAGCAACTATTGGCAGGAAGGTGGACTAATGCAATTATAAGTAGTGTGGGTGGGGGGTTGAAGAGGGTTCGGATAGATGCAGTATTAGAATGTAGGGCAGAAGTTTGTGGTTATAGGAGGGTGAATGCAGGAGGAAAGAGGAGTGATTGGTGGAACGATGAAGTAAAGGGTGTGATAAAAGAGAAAAAGGTAGCTTATGAGAGGTTTTTACAGTGTTGTAAGGAGAGCCGAGTATATAGAGAGTAAAAGAAAGGTGAAGAGAGTGGTGAGAGTGCAAAAGGAGAGCAGATGAGAGTGGGAGAGCCACTGTCAAGAAATTTTGATGAAAATAGGAAAAAATTTTGGAGATAAACAAGTTAAGAAAGTCTAGGGAATGAATGGATTTGTCAGTTAAAAACAGAGTAGGGGAGTTAGTAGATGGGGAGCTGGAAGTATTGGGTAGAAGGCGGGAATATTTTGAGGAACTTTTAAATGTCGATGAAGAAAGGGAGGCAGTAATTTCATGCATTGGTCAGGAAGGTATAATATCTTTTAGGAGTAAAGAAGAGCAGGATGTGAGTGTTGGGGAGGTGCGTGAGGCATTATGTAGAATGAAAGGGGGTAAAGCAGCAGGAACTGATGGGATCATGACAGAAATGTTAAAAGCAGAGGGGGATATTGTGCTAGTGTGGTTGGTATTTTTGTTTAATGAATGTATGAGAGGAAAAGGTACCTAGGGTGTGTATAGAGTGTGTGTATAGAGATTGTAAAAATTATAAGGGAATAAGTGTATGGTAGGTTATTATTGAAAGAATTAAGAGGTAAAACAGAGTAGGATTGCAGATGAGCAAGGAGGCTTTAGAGTGGATAGGGGATGTGTAGATCAAGTGTTTACATTGAGGCATATATGTGAATAGGGGAGCACTGTGGCAGATGTTGCAAGTGTATGGAATAGGTAGTAAGTTACTAAATGCTGTTAAGAGTTTTTGAGGATAGAGAGGCTCAGGTTAGGGTGTGTAGGAGAGAGGGAGAATACTTCCTGGTAAAAGTAGGTCTTAGACAGGGATGTGTAATGTCACCATGGTTGTTTAATATATTTATAGATGGGGTTGTAAAAGAAGTAAATGCTAGGGTGTTGGTGAGAGGAGTGGGATTAAATTATGGGGAATCAAGTACAAAATGGGAGTTGACACAGTTACTTTTTGCTGATGATACTGTACTTATGGGAGATTCTAAAGAAAAGTTGCAAAGGTTAGTAGACAATTTGGGAGTGTGTGTAAAGCTAGAAAGTTGAAAGTGAACATAGGTAAAAGTAAGGTGATGAGAGAATCAAATGATTTAGATAAAGAAAAATTGGATATCACAATGGGGAGAGGGAGTATGGAAGAAGTGAATGTTTTCGGATATTTGGAAGTTGACTTGTCAGCGGATGGGTTTATGAAGGATGAGGTTAACTACAGAACTGATGAAGGAAAAAAAGGTGAGTGGTGCATTGAGGTATATGTGGAGACAAAAAACGTTATCTATGGAGGCAAAGAAGGGAATATATGAAAGTACAGTGGACCCCCGGTTAACGATATTTTTTCAATCCAGAAGTATGTTCAGGTGCCAGTACTGACCGAATTTGTTCCCATAAGGAATATTGTGAAGTAGATTAGTCCATTTCAGACCCCCAAACATACACGTACAAACGCACTTACATAAATACACTTACATAATTGGTCGCATTCGGAGGTGATCGTTATGCGGGGTCCACTGTATAGTGGTACCAACACTCTTATATGGGTGTGAAGCTTGGGTTGTAAATGCTACAGCAAGGAGACGGTTGGAGGCAGTGGAGATGTCCTGTCTAAGGGCAATGTGTGGTGTAAATATTATGCAGAAAATTCGGAGTGTGGAAATTAGGAGAAAGTGTGGAGTTAATAAAAGTATTAGTCAGAGGGCTGGAGAGGGGTTGTTGAAGTGGTTTGGTCATTTAGAGAGAATGGATCAAAGTAGAATGACATGGAGAGTGTATAAATCTGTAGGGAAAGGAAGGCAGGGTAGGGGTCATCCTCAAAAAGGTTGGAGGGAGGAGGTAAAGGAGGTTTAGTGGGCGAGGGGCTTGGACTTTCAGCAAGTGTGCGTGCGCATGTTAGATAGGAGTGAATGGAGACGAATGGTATTTGGGACCTGATGAGCTGTTGGAGTGTGAGCAGGGTAATATTTAAATAAGGGATTCAGAGAAACCGGTTACTTTTATATAGCCGGACTTGAGTACTGGAAATGGGAAGTACAATGCCTGCACTTTAAAGGAGGGGTTTGGGATATTGCTAGTTTGGAGGGATATGTTGTGTATCTTTATATGTATATGCTTCTAAACTCTTGTATTGTGGGCACCTCTGCAAAAACAGTGATTATGTGTGAGTGAGGTGAAAGTGTTGAATGGTGATCAAAGTATTTTCTTTTTGGGGATTTTCTTTCTTTTTGGGTCACCCTGCCTCGGTGGGAGACGGCCAACTTGTTAAAAAAAATATATAGAATCAATAAGTATTTTAAATACTGGGAACTCCTTAAAGCAACTGAACTCTCATGGTAACTGATTATACAGTATGTACATGGAATGGAAGATACTAGAGGTCTTGGTCCTCAATCTGAACACTGCCATAAATGATTGGAGTGACAGATATGGAAGTGTAGAATTAAAATAAAACTATTGGAAAATATGGGTACCACAAGTCCAATTAATATTCATGATTCAAAACCCTTCAACCTTCTATTAGTATAAGAAATATTGCCAGAATGATGGAAGTTTTCAAGAGGAAACTGGATAACAATCTCCTGCATGTGCCTGATCATCTGTGTGAGCTTGTGAGCAGCTAGCACCAACAACCAAATATTTACAGTTTTGCTTATTTGGTAACTCCTAAAAACATGGCATTTACATCCATTCATCTATTATTTGACCTTGACAGCACATAAGCTACATCAAAAAATAAAAAAAACACACGCAAAATATATCTTCATGTGGTCATACATATATTTTTTTATTCTATTTAACATGTTTTCTGATACGATAAATACTGTAACAGATTATACTAGACTCGGGTGATCAGTGCAAGTAGACTCTGGTGATCAGTGCAAGTAGACTCTGGTGATCAGTGCAAGTAGTCATCAGTCAGATACAGTACTTTATTTTATCCATCCTGAAGACTTCCTTCCCAAAACTGTATAAATGGACTGCTATATTAAATGAACTGAAGTCATACCTTGACTGAAACAATTCACAACTCACAACATGGAAAAGAAATTTTAGCCTACATTCACCAAGTTGTTTAACATAACCAATTTGGGTGTGGCCTCTTAACCCTTTGACTGTCGCTAGCCCCTTTCTGAAACTGTCTTTCTATGTTGAAAAATTTTTGGAAAAAAATTTTTCTTATGAAATAATAAGAGAATCTTTTCCCAATGGTAATGACACCAAAAGTACAAAATTTGATTGAAAACTCATGGAATTATGGTCCTGCAAAGTTAGTGATCTCAGTGATATAGTATACGCATTGGCAATTTCGCCGAATTTGAGCCCTAATTTCAGCCAATTCCATTGTTCCAGTCGACCAAACTCATAGTGATTTCTTTAGAACTCCATTTTTTCTATCAACTGAGTACAAGAAACTTCCCATTTACCAATTTCAACTACCCAATAAAGTGGTCAGAAATTGGCAATTTGGCCAATTTCATTCAAATTAAAAAATATGACAATTTCAAAGTAGGGTCTAGAATAAACAATGCAGATATTCTTGGCACTAAAACAACATATCTTCTGTTCATCAGTCACGTCTCCAGGCCTCTCTTATAATACTCTTGCTTTCTACTTTGATTTTTTTATTCACACAAAAAATAGAAGATTTACTGTTATGCAGACTACTGCATTATTGTAAAAATTGTATAAATAATATCAGTGCACTAGTGAAAGAATATCAGATTCCCCAGTTGATATGTATTGGACGTATGGTGTGATTTGCTTATTCTTGAACATTGGTAAAAATCTAACATTTCTGCTACTTTGAGCTCAATTTCAATGTTGTTTTCATCGTGAAACTAATCAAAATCATCTCTATTTCTGTAATATGTTTCCCATTCTATCAAATAATACCAAGAAAACGAGAATGCAAACATAAATACTATACAAAAATACACCTCAAAGTTGGCGTTTTAATCCAAAAACCACAGTCGAAGTTTTTTTTTTTCTCATTATGCACTGCGTGCTGCAGAATTTATTTTATACAGTGCACACTGACCACACAGACCCATTCTCTCACATGTGAGCCTACCAGCTTTCTCCTGCTTGATTTGAAGCCGCTAGAATTATTGAGTATATATACATCCGAAACACTAGCTCCTAAGACATATATATACAACTACTAAAACTGTCACAGGGTTAAGAGTGAATAAAGAATCAAAACATTGTCTAAAGTTTCATCTACAAATTATAGTTTAATTGTAAGCTGCATATTTATATGACCACTAACCTTCCTGACTGCCATAATCTTTTGGTTCTCAGCATATGAGCCAACTACTTCCACATTCTTCAAAAGGTTGGCATAATCATTCCACAGTGTATAAGAATTGTAGTCCATTCCAATCTTGTCGATGGCAAATTCATAAGCTTGTGACAACTTCTCTCTGAAACAACACAAATATCAATTAATAATGAGCCAGAATTGATGAGGGAAAAAAGGTGGATGATGCACTGAAGCATCTGTGGAGACAAAGAAAGTTATCCATGTAAGAAGAGGGAATGTGTAAGAGTATAGTGGTACCAACACTCTTATATGGGTGTGAAGCATGGGTGGTGAATGCTGCAGCAAGGAGGAGTCTGGAGGCAGTGGAGATGTCAAGTCTGAAGATAATGTGTGGTGTGAATATTATGCAGAAAATTCAATTGGGAGATAAGAAGATGCAGAGTTGCTAAAAGTATTATCCAGAGAGTTGAAGAGAAGTTATTAAGGTGGTCTGGATATTTAGAGAGGATGAGGAAAAATAGGATGCCTTGGAGGGTATATAAATCTGTATTGAAGGGAGGACGGGGTAGGGATTACCCTAGGAAAGATTAAAGGGAGGGGGTAAAGGTTTAGTTTGTGAGTGGACTGGACATCCAACAAGCATGTACAAGGGTATTAGATAGAAGTGAGCAGAGACAAGTGGTTCTTTAAGAGTAGACATGCTGTTCAAAAGTGAGCAAGGTAATAACTATGAAGGGATTCAGGTACACCTGTTAGCTGGACTTGAGTCCTAGAGGTGAAAGTACAATGTCTGCACTCTGAAGGAGGGCTGGGGATACTGCAGTGGGAGATGGCCGATGTGTTAAAAAAATAAATCAGAAGTCCTGTGAAGTCTGTATGTATTAATAATTAAATACCACTGCTAGCTGAGAAGGTAATGTGGTAGTGGGGGGGGGGGGGGGGGTGAGAGCTGAGGTGAGAGTGAGAGCAGAATTTAGTGCCTGGGGTGTAAGTAGGGGACATGGACAAGCATACATGGGAGTGTGCAGGAGTGGGGGAAAGGTGGAGGGATACAGGGAAAGAATCATGCTTCGGCAAGTGCTTCAAGAAGCAATCACAGTGCTACCTTGAGTTACGAACTTAATTCGTTCCAGAAGGCTATACAAATAACCCGCACATAGAAGAGAGGAGCTTACAACGACATTTCGGTCTGACTTGGACCATTTATAAAGTCACACGGAAAGCTGTTCAAGTGCCGATACCAAACAAATTTTTTCCCATAACGAATAATGTAAATTAGAGTAGTCCGCTTCAAACCCCCAAAAATACACTTACAAAAATGCACTTACATAATTGTTCGAGTTGGGAGCTATTCGAAACTCTAGGTACCACTGTACGTATTATTATTCTTAACCTTTTCAGGGTCCACAGGCCCTCTCAGAGACTTGTTCTTAGGGGTCCCCCAAATTTCAAAAAAAAAAAAAAATTATTTTTTCTTATGAAAAGATAGAGAATCTTTCCCCAATCATGACGACACTAAAAGTATGAAATTTGATGGAAAACTTACGGAAGTATGCTCTCGCAAAGTTAGCGGTCTCGACGATGTTTACGCATCGGCGATTTTGCCCACTTTGAGCCCTATTTTCGACCAATTCCAGTGCACTAGTCGACAAAAATCATAACTATTTCGCTAGAACTCCATTTTTTCTACCGAATCAGTACAAGAAACCACCCATTTACCAATTTCAACTATCCAATACAATGGTCAGAATTTAGCAATTTTGCCAATTTCACACAAATTTCAAAAGATGCCAATTTCCAAATAGGGTCCAGAATAAACAAGAAAGACATTCCTGGCACTAAAATGACATTTACTCTGTTCATTAGTCACATCCCCACACCCCTCTTACATTCTTTTGCTTTCCACTTGAATTTTTATTCTCAAAAAATACAGAAGATTTACTGTTATGCAGACTACTGCATTAGTGTAGAAATGGTATAAATAATATCGGTGCACTTGCGAAAGAATATTAGACTCACCAGTTGACATGTATTGGACGCATAGCATGATTTGTTTACTTTTGAACTTTGGTAAAAATCGAACATTTCTGCTACTTTGATCTCAAGTTCAAGGTACTTTTCATTGTAAAAACCAGTCAAAATCATCTCAATTTCTGTAATATGTCTTCCATTCTATAAAATGAGACCAGAAAAACTAGAATACAACAATAAATACCATACGAAAATACAGTGCAAAGTCGCTGTTTTAATCCAAAAACACGGTCATTGCGCACTATGTGCTGCAGGATTTTTTTATACTGCGCACACTGACCACATAGACCCATTGTTTCATATGTAGGCCTACCAGCTTTCTCTAACTAGATTTGAGGGCGCTAGAATTTAGGTGTACTAGTACGTCAAAAACCCTGGTGCGTAAGCCGTACTAGTACGTTCGAAATCCTGAAAGGGTTAAATACTCCGGCCATCTCCCACTGAAGCAGGGTGGCCTCTTATGGCACTCCTGGCTTACAGAGGAGAGATTCTTCTCCACTTCCCCATGGAGCCATGTAAAATACTTTATATAATTAAGAGCACAATAGTACTTATAAAATAACCAAGATGACTGGCTACATTTTTACTTCAGTACCTCATAAAAGTGTAATATAGTTAATAATAATTATTTTATTTTAGCATGATACACATTTGTACAAAGGAGTGTAATAATTGGGTGACCATGCCTAAAGCCCCTTTATATGCAGAGCATTTCAGGCAAACTTAAGACTAATAAGGCAATAACAGTGTTGTAATTGCAAACATTGTAATTTGGTGAGTTACAATGAATACACGAAAATTGAATATTCTATTAGATCATTCTATATAGTTTTAATAAGTTAGGTAGAGAAAAATTACAGTTTTGATAAAGTATATAAAAAATGAAGTATTACAACTTAGCACAGTTTAAAACAATGAAGTTGAAACAATTTTAAGTTTGAAGTAATGATTAAATAGTTGAGCAATCATCAAGCACAATTTACAATAATGAAATTGAAACAATTTTAAGTTTGAAGTAAATGATGAAACAGTTGAGCAGTCATAAATTATTTAGGAGTTTTTTTGAGTTTGTACATAACATGTCTATGATATACATATATGAATGATATTTGAGAGAAGAGTACAATGTTAGTTGCATACCTGTAAGTTGGCAGACTGGACTTGGTCTCCTTAACATATGTGACATAGAGACGCCATAAATCAATGTTCAGAACTTTCGTGAGACATCGTTGAAAAAGCTGAAAATATTAAATAGAAATTAGAGAGATTGTAATAATAACTGTATTACGTACTGAGATTAGCATATGTCAGAGCATAATATATTTCTAGGGTATAATGAATACAATATATCCCATTCAGTGACAGGAAATGAAACAAACATATCAGAGACATATATATAGAGAAAACAATTTATAGAACAATACCTGTTCCATCAAATTCACACTAGAATTTCAAGTAAAGAACATTTACATTTCAGGAAAATATATAAATAATTAAGAAACAATAGAATACACTTACATGTGTAATAAGATGCAGCAATGAGCACCAGGATGAATCACATACTGGTATGTCTTACTTCACTCTGGGCAATATACCTTGAAATTGTTATGTAAAAGGAAACAAATGCAGCTAATGCGACATTTTATTGTGACAATGTTTCGCTCTCCAGGCGCTTTGTAAAGCTGTTATGGCTTGACAAAGCTCCTGGAGAGTGAAACGTTGCCACAATAAAATGTCACATTAGTTGCATTTGTGTCCTTTTATTTAACATACTGTCGGTAATTCTACCAATATTAATACTACCTCAAAATTACACAAGAATATCCACAATTAACCTACAACTTAGAGATGAAACTTTAGGCAACATTTCAGTTCATTGTGGAGCATCAAGTATTGAGCCCAGGATGGGCTGAAGTGTAATCTAAAGTCTCAACCCAATATTGTGGCTTAGTTGTCAATTGTAACTGCTATGGCACTTACTTTTTTTTTTTTTCCACGTGAGGATACCCATTATCCATCATGCAACTTTGCTTCCTAGCCATTCATCAATGTCCATCTCTTTCATCTTTGCTCCTACCTGCTTTTCTTTTTTTCTTCCCTTCCCTTCTACTGTTTATCAAATCATTCCTAAACAGAAGTAAGATTCAAGCTAGATTTGCCTGACATTAACATTAATTAATTAACAGTTATGTCAACTATATTGTAATGTGCAACACATGCACTCGCACAGGAGCCAGGAGCTATGACTCAACCCCTGCAGCCACAAATAGGTGAGTACATGCACACATGAATGTACACATACAACATGTAAACATACACAAGATCTTGTCTAAGATCTTATTATGCTTTTGTATACGCTCTTTCCTTCTCACCCACATGCATGTTATTATGCTCCCCCTTTTGCTAATGCTTGTTAACCCCTCTCACTTACATTCACTTGTGCTCTCACTGTCTTGTAATATTCTCTTTTTTTTTTTTTGGCCTCTGTTCTCTTTGCTACCCTTAAAACAATTGCATCCTCTCCTACTCATTTACATGTGTTCTCCCTATCACTTGTGTGTTCTGGTTCCTCACTTGTGGGCATGTGTGTATCTTCTCACCCTTTACTCATTCTCATTCACTCATTCATGCACATTTTTTTCTCTTCCCCTCTTACTTGCTCATGTGTATTTTTCTGCCTCTCCCCTTTCTTACTTGTGTGTTTTCTTCCTTCCCTCTCTCATCTCTCACTTAGGTGTATGTTCTTCCTTGCCTCTCATCACACAGGTACTCACCTGGTTGTTTGCAAGAGTAAGTTCTTACCCGAGGTCCTCTCACTTAATCACTATTGAGTGGCTTTGCTGATTCTTGACTTCCAAGGCCTAATTATACAGTACCTACTTTTAGAAATCTATCCAGTATGCTGCTTGCCTTTACTAAGTCTTCATGTAGTTTATTCCACTTACTATCCTGTGACTCAAAAAGTATTTCCTTATGTCCCTGTGATTCATCTGCATCTTTAGCTACTGTACAATGTTCCATGGGTCCCTCTCCTTACAACTCATACAGCTTGTCCCTATCCACTCTTTCACAGTTTATGTATACATCTGGTGATGTTCTTGGTTATGCTTACCCCCAGATCTTTCTCCTTGAGCAGTGCCTTTCTACTCTCTAGCTTTCTTCTTGTACAGTGACCTTCTTCTCTCTGTCTTTCTCCTTGTATACAGGCACTCCTCACTTAATGACCAAGTTCCGTTCCTACGACTAGGTCATTAAGCTAATTGGTTGATAAACGAGGAGCGTCATCATCAGTATTATCAGCAGGGTTATCAGGAGCTGTAGAGGGCTTGGGTAAGGGAGATGGCAAGAAATGGAAGGACTTGTAGGGGTCTGGGGTGTAGCTTTCGAGAAGAATCCCATTAGTGTGTTCTGCTTTGTAATTTTCTATTTTTTCTTCACAAATTTCATGACAGCATCGTAAAAGTTCATCCATTTGCCGATCCATTTTTATGAACTGTTAAACATTTGGGTCCATAGCCTCTAGTTCTAATACACCCACATTCAATTTCCAGAACACACAAACTAACCCCTTTACAGTGAACTTCTTTTGTACTTCTTCCATTCTTTCCTTTTCTTCTTCCTCTTCTAAGTGCTGCTGCACTTCCAACTCTATTAAATCTTCGTTACTTAGTTCTCCCTTGACATATTTCACTAGTTTTTCAATATCTTCCACTTCAACATCTAAATTAAGCATATTAGCAAGTTCCACATTTTTTTTTTATTTATAACATTGATGTCCGTGTTCACTGAGTTTAATCACTTTTAACCTGGCATTTAAAGTAAGAGGTTTATGATTCCTCTTTTTATCACAAATATTAATTATTATTGTTATTATTATCATCATAAATGAGAGAGAACAAGAGACACGGAGAACGTAAACAAACTTAGAACGTAATTGAGGGCAGTTAGACGAACTCCTATTAAAAGCTGTCCACTTTCTGTTCATACACGTTCATTATGTATCATACATGCTTTTGTGAAATTCACCCCCCCCCCCACAATACAAACACCTTATGTTGTATACAGTGTCTTCATTTTAATGAGGACAACTTGACATCGACATGTTTGTCTTTGTCAAACCCTTAGACGCTTGGCGCTAAGATGCCGCGCTGCCATTTCTACAACCAAAGTTCTAGTACAGAGTACAATACTGGCTGGTCAAAGAGCTGGTCGTAAGTTTATGTGGTCGATAAACAGGTAGGTCATTAAGTGAGGAGTGTCTGTAGTGCCTTTCTTCTCTCAGTCTTTCTCCTTGTACAGTGTGTTTCTTCTCTCTAGCTTTCTCCTTGTACTGTGCCTTTCTACTTTCTGGCTTTCTCTTTGTACTGTGTCTTTCTTCTCTCTGGCTTTCTCTTTGTACCGTGCCTTTCTTCTCTCTGGCTTTCTCCTCATACAATGCCATTCTCCTCTCTAGCTTTCTCTTCGTACTGTGCCTTTCTTCCCCTTTTCACAATACAGTGGATCCCCAGTTATCATAATTAATCCATTCCAGACAGTGTGACTAAAACCGAATTTGATGATTTCCGAATTCATTTTCCCCATAAGAAATACAGTGGACCCTCGACCAGCGATGGCATCGATTAACGATAAATCTGACTAGCGATACATTTTATCGCAAAAATTTTGCCTCGATTAGCGCTAAAAAACTCGACCAACACTATTCGTTCCATCTGAGACGCGTCCACTTCTGGCCAGTGTTTACAAGCCAGCCAGCCACCGCGGTCGCTTCCAAGCATACAATCGGAACATTTCATATTATCACAGCCTTTTTAGTGATTGCACCTGCAAAATAAGTCAACATGGGCCCCAAGAAAGCTTCTAGTGCCAACCCTACAGCAAAAAGGGTGAGAATTACTATGGATATGAAGAAAGAGATCATTGCTAAGTATGAAAGTGGAGTGCATGTCTCTGAGCTGGCCAGGCTGTACACAAAACCCCAATCAACCATCGCTACTATTGTGGCCAAGAAAACGGCAATCAGGGAAGCTGTTCTTGCCAAAGGTGCAACTATGTTTTCGAAACTGAGATCGCAAGTGATAGAAGATGTTGAGAGACTGTTATTGGTATGGATAAACAAAAAACAGATAGCAGGAGACAGCATCTCTCAAGCGATCATATGTGAAAAGGCTAGGAAGTTGCATGATGATTTAATTAGAAAAATGCCAGCAACTAGTGGTGATGTGAGTGAATTTAAGGCCAGCAAAGGTTGGTTTGAGAGATTTAAGAATCGTAGTGGCATACATAGTGTGATAAGGCATGGTGAGGCTGCCAGTTTGGACCAAAAAGCAGCTGAAAAATATGTGCAGGAATTCAAGGAGTACATAGACAGTGAAGAAATGAAACCTGAACAAGTGTTTAATGGTGACACTGACAATGTTGTGAAACACTTTAGGAATGTCATAAAGGAACGGGAGGTACAGGCCTCTATGGGCAGATATGTTGTGCGACAGAGGTCCAGTGACTCTCAAGCTGGTCCTAGTGGTATTAAAAGAAGAAGGGAAGTAACCCCCGAAAAAGGACTTGCCACCTCAAGTCCTAATGGAAGGGGATTCCCCTTCTAAACACTAAGACCATCAACACACTTCCCTCTTCCCATCCCATCAATCATCACCAGATCTTCAATAAAGGTAAGTGTCATGTAACTGTGCATGTCTTCTTCAGTTTGTGTGTATTAAAATTAATATTTCATGTGTTAAATTTTTTTTTTTCAATATTTTGGGTGTCTTGCACGGATTAATTTGATTTCCATTATTTCTTATGGGGAAAATTAACTTGACTAACGATTATTTTGACTAACGATGAGCTCTCAGGAACGGATTAATAGCGTTAGTGGAGGGTCCACTGTAATGTAAACCCAATTAATCCGTTCCAGATACTCAAAAGTATTAAAAAAAAAAAATTTTTTTACATGAAATATACACTTACCTACGCAGAAAGCAATGAGACATGAAGAATAAAATAATAATAACATGACACTTACCTTTATTAACCCTTTCAGGGTCCACAGGCCCTCTCCGAGACTTGTTCTCAGGGTCCCCCAAATTAAAAAAAAAAAAAATTATTTTTTCTTATGAAAAGATAGAGAATCTTTTCCCGATCATAATGACACCAAAAGTATGAAATTCGATGGAAAACTTATGGAATTATGCTCTTGCGAAGTTAGTGGTCTCAACGATGTTTACGCATCGGCGATTTTGCC